CTATCGATTGCAGGGTGATTACTGTAAATATTGGCACGACGTGAGCGATGGGAAACCTTTTCGCACAGCGTGAACCCACTCTCACCGCTGTCTGCGGTATAACCCCTTCATCGCCGAAGTCTTGCTGTTATCTTTCTCTACCTTCTTATTTTCCAAAGGAAATTATTTGACCCGAAGCGGAGCATAGGACTTACATCGGTATTGTGGCAATGCCTACACTCTGAAGTTCCGCACAGTTCTGCTTGAATAAGCTGGGTACCATTCGGGGGGAGGGGGGGGGCACCGAATGGTACCCAGCTAGGCTTGTACAAGCCACCTTGTAAAGACCTGTAAATCCCTGTGACCAAAATGAGTGATTCGAACGATTCGCAGGAGTTTACAGGTCTTACTTAAGTGAGACCTGTTAGTTTGCCTGAACTTACAACGGGGACTAACGAAAGTGCTAGATGCCCCCTCTAGGCCGAACAGAGCCTCATCTTACTACCAGTTAACTGGATATACTGCATCACTTCCATGTGAAATCAATTAAAACATGATGCTAACGCCGCACCGCTTGCAACGCTGCTCTCGCCACAGCAACATGGTGCAGTGGCCCATATATTCTGACGGAAGGAGAGAGAGAGGAGGTAAGAGATGGCCCTAGTGACGTTAAAAATAGCGCACTGTCCCGGAAACCTAAGGTAGGGTTGACGTCGCTCCAGGATCAAGTCTTTGCCAATGACTGAACATTCTTCTGGTCACATCCGGAGCACGAACTGCGACGTTAAATAGCAATTATCATAATAGAACATCTATTTTTCCCTCTCTTGCCTGAACTGCGCAAGTTCCAGAAAAATGCAGATTCACTAGGCATCTTAATTATAAACCCCATCCTAAGTGGTTGAAATACAACCCCTCGTTCAGGACTCTAACGAGCCGTCTCCTAAGTACGGCAGAATCCATGGCGCATTCCTAGGCAAATTTACAATTGCTAACTGCTACGTCGTACTGTTCTTTAGAGAGAACGTATTATCGATTTCACGATTACCTTGTTCTGGTCGATACCCATACATCGGCGTTCAGCCACGAATAGAGGATTGATCATGGCGACATCACCCCTGAAATGAACAAGTTTATAAGTTTGGAAGACAAGCGGTATATAATACCCCAAAAATTGTGCGTGAAGTTAAACATGTTGGTCCCGTGAGTGCACAAAATGGCGCATTGAATGATGCGTGTTTAGGCTGCGTTTATACTTTGCGGCAGCGTAGCGTAGCGCTTCCAGCGTACGCCAGCGGCAGTGTCGGGGAAAGGATAGATATCGATCTAGCGTCCCAGCGTCACCAGCGTACGCTAGATCGATATCTATCCTTTCCCCGACACTGCCGCTGGCGTACGCTGGAAGCGCTACGCTACGCTGCCGCAAAGTATAGACGCAGCCTTAGTTGCCGAAGTTTGAGCTATGCTGTGATGCTGCGAGTGAGACCAGGAAGTGAGAATGAAAAAAATCCAACTCTCCACCTGTGGCCAGGTGCTGCCTATGCATAAACTGCGGGGTGGTGTTGGTCTCGTTAATGCTACGCACTTAACCCCACGCGCAATTTGGATACTGTATCCGTCCTATTTTTCTTGACCTAGAAGTCAGTTGAAATGATGCTGGGGCGCGTGCGAAACGGAAGAGCCACTTCCTAAGACCCCTCGAGAAGTCATCAATGGTAACCCTAGCGGTATCGGTAAAAATCGGATAGCCTACCGTCGGTGACATTGGCGTCCACAGCTCTGTTGATAGGAACATTCGCCGCATTGTTGCTCGCTAATCGTAATTTCTCGTAGGTAGTTGTAGAAATTGTTGAAAGCCTAGCAAAAACACGATTCAATATCTTTGATGCCATATCGATCGATGCATGTTTGAAGGGATTATCTTGATCGGGTGATCGCTGATCTCAACATAATATTGTATGGCCTATCGTTTTTCCGGGTCAAGAAACGAAGCGATTGTTGGAAGATAAGTGGACGAAATTTCTGCGCGATTCTATCGGCTTGTCGAAAGGTCAATGACGATGATCGCTTGATGAGAGTGGTTGTGAAATGATGCGACAGGGACATGCTCGAAAAAAACCGGGGCTATTAAGAGTTGGGTTTCAGAAGGCTTCTTCATCAATTCACCGTTCCCCATCGATCCTTCAGTAAACGGAAGAAGACGTGTGTTCGACATCCTTTTCGGCCAGGCAGCAGCTGATCGAAGTAAGGTCGTTGGAACCTGAACATTCATTCTATGAGACTATGATCCTGAGCGTAAAAGTCCGACTTACCTCTTCTCACTGCCTTTCAGCCACACACAGGGTCCCCATTCGGACCATGATTCACAGTTGGGAGCCTGGATCGGGTTCCCGAACATGGCACTGATTTGGCCATCTGAAGAAAAGGCATTTTATAAGCTGATGCAAAAGAGTGGGCACTATTGAAAGCACCTGTGATACCGATGGCTGAGATCAACGTCAGCGGCAGAAGCAACCTCATTCTGAAAAAAGGTGTGCTGTCATGAGATCTGCTTGTTCGAAAAGA